AAAATCTAGACGCCATAGAAATACTTTAACCAACATTAAAATCATATCAAAGAGGACCGACTATCTTCTCAATAAATGTTAGCAAATAACTGAGCACAAGTTCGCAGTTTGCACTGAATACAGCTTCATACACTAATTGGTGTTTAGAAAACCTTCCACACTGAATATGTTTATTTCATACAGAACCATGATACAGTATTTCTTACTGGATAATGTTCGGAGCACTTATCCAGACCGAAAAATAACGAACCCCACGTGGATATGTCACCTCGATAAAACCAAGCAACTGGTATGCAGAAGAATGGGGTTGAATACGGAACCCCTGGTCATCAGATAAACATAAAAAAGCAGCACGAATGACCAAAATCGCAATTCGGATATTTCAAAACCAGTAGTGCCGTTGGAACAGAGGATTGGAAAGTAATAAAGCTACATTTTATATACACAAAAGAAAGACAAAATTGAATAGTCCTATCTAACACCTCCATCGGTTTGCAACTACGTACACAGATAACTGTAAGCCCTCACTGCATGCAGTGTTGAATTATAGAGTTCTCAAAACGTCAACAAACTTCTCACCCACAACCCCCTCAAACACACAACTCAAGAGTACAACTCTGTTCAACAACACAACTCAATGGCAGTCCTAACGTCGAGAAATACAACGATTGTTTGCCTGAAATTCGCTTGACAGTGTTTGAGCATCAGGTGGGGGTGGGGAGTGGGGGTGAACATATGATCGTTATGTCCACGAATTGAAAGAACCTCTGTCTGCTCATCGCACATCAGTCCTATACACGCTTCACACAGTCTACGAAGCACGGCAGCACCCAACACTTTAGACGCTACAAGTAACAAATCTATACTTTGATGATTACCACAAGCATTACATAAACCCCTTTCCACAGATGCATACAGTAATGGCCTCATTCCAGAGGCACGCAGCACTTAGCACACCGCAACACCTTCACAAACAATGTAGTCAGTTCCCTGAATACAGTCTCAACTCCATGTTAGAAAACGGCGCGGTGTAGGTTGCTTGAGTCCGATACCGTATGGCACTCACTTTACAACTTCGAGTTCCTACACAACCTCCCATTCACTAGGTAAATCGGCATTAAGTGACTGCGAAGCACACAACATTCAGATCGATGATACTGGAAGTCCTAACCTAAACGTAACTGGCGTCTAAAAACGTCGTGAATCATCGAACCATGTACTTCACAGAGTGTCTCACTGATACCATGCGTCTCCTTGATGTCGCTGGCTAGGATGAGTTGGAACAGTCCCCCATCATTGTCAGACGCAACTGCTGTTTCCATATCACCTATCCTGACCACCAGATCACACAGTTCTTTAGCGAACGCTGCTCGATCTGTCGTGTATGATATTCACATACACATACCACTTTACTCGCTCCCTGTCGGAACTCTTTGACGATTATCAATAATTTGCAAGCATTTCACGTAAAGTCAGTGTTTGATAACAAAACAATTAACACCACACGCTGCTTTACTTTCACGACATTTTATAAGCGTAGTCGATCCCCGTGTATACTTTCTCAACGTCCAACAGCTACCACCGAATCTAGGAGGGTTTGACATTTAGCTGCAACCAGTTTCCCTACGTCGACCCGTTTCAGGACGAAACATATGATGACTACCGAAATGCAAGATAAATTTAGCACACACTAATGTGTGATCAGAGTTCAGGCAGCAGAAGGAGCGGCAGTCCTGAGTACACCCACACTATTGGTGGCTCGACTGACAGATGCCAGTTTGATGTGACGATCGGGCTAGTAAATCTCAACTACCCAAAAAGCTAAACTGGTTGCGACCCTTTCTCTCCCGAGGACTTACCATGCTAGGAAGATTTATTGGATAGTTGCAAAACGAAAAGCAATTACTGCAAATTGCTACACCATGATGGGAGTCCGCCGGCTAAGTAGTTGTACTGGCTGGATTGGGTGTGACAGCAGTAAACTGCTCCCCTTGGATGACCAGCAGTACAATGTTCACGGTGCCTTCCATATGAAAAGGTGGTGGTTAGAAAAGGTTGGCCCGCTCCTCCCTGCTCTACGGTCATCTCATGTCGAAGATATGGGTTTTCTCTATCCGGTGTAAGAACAATCAAATCTCATACCAACAAACCTTAGAAGGCTGTGTGAAAGGCCTCAAGCAGATGTCCCATGGGCGCTACCGTTACATAAATCTTTTCCTCTTTCAGGTACCTTGAGAAGAAATAGCTTCCCGCGGCGTAGACAGTCGCTTCCAGTAGTAAAAAAGACCCAAACAAACATAACCTATCCTACTCAAATCTGCCCCGTCCTTTGCCTTCATCTCCTGATAACAATATTAAGCCTCTTACAACTTCCACAGACTCTTTCTTACTCTGCGACCATTTCAGGCGATCAAGGCCATCGAAACCTCATTCTTAGTCTCCCAAGACTCCACCATCCATTTCATATTGGGACCTTCAAATTCCGGACTCCATGCTAAATCGGACAGTAGGCATTACTCGCCACAACTCTGGAATCTCAAGACATGGATATTTGACGCATCTTTGAGACACGTATGAAGGACTCGCATGTGATCATTAAATTTATCTCACCTGGCCATAGTAGGGAATCTTCGAAATTCACCTTAAGAGTATCTGGAGACCCAGTGGCTAGCTGTCGTGGACTCGCTAGTGTGTAGGAAACAGAACAAAAAGCGTGCTAGTAAGACAGAAAATCTGAGACAATCAGTCAAAAATATTGAGGACACCACATTCCTCGATAATTACCTACTCCAGTTTCCTTTCCTAGTGGTGAAATGATAAGAAAGTGTTAGGAAAACACAAACAGCAGTGGTAACACATAATCAACCAATAATATCACCAATAATAAAGGCAATACAGCGAAGAAACAACTCAAAACCTCTACGGTGTTACCATACAAAGGAGACACCTGAGAAGCATAACGCGGAATTCTCAATAAGGTTGGGATTAGAGTGACATTTAGACCTAGGAACTCACTGGCCAATAAGATCTGTAGATGAAAAGATTTCACTGACTCAATTAGGCGAAATAATTTAGTTCACCAAAGCCCTTACAATGAATGGTTGAGAGGTCAAATGCATAGGTCAGTGTAGTTAGCCGGGGTGATTAAGTTTTTCGATCCAAAAAGCTTGTCTAGATCAAGGATGATAGACTTCAGTGAGATAATAAATCATCTGGAGGCAAGCTCGGTTGTAGCTATGCTCCCAATAATTAATACACGATAGAATGAGTTGACTGAGTTCGAAAGAGAGAGATCAATAATCGAGTCTTTGTTTATTGAATCCATAACAAATGTATGCGACGGCAAATACTTAGTTTCTGTTCGAGGTACATGGAGAATTCTAATTCCCATATCACGAAAAAGGAGAGAGTGTGTATCGAAACTATACAAGCCATTTCTCAAATCAGTGGAGTTACCTTGATATGACTATGTGTAATGAACCATGCCCGAAACATTATCCAGAGAGCAATGCTGTTTCACTATGGTGAATCTGATAAACTAAATAAAATGGAAAATCATTTGCTACTTTCAAACTTTCGTTAGGAAAAAAGATAAGCACAACAACAATAATATGCTTATTATTAGCAGATCGGCATCTCATGAAACGAACACTCAACTTTGGTAAAAGCTGGTTGGTCTACATAAAAGCTACTAAAAACAGTGCTGATACACTAAGTGGGATAAAATATCAATTTAATAGAACTTGGTGGTGATTCCAACAGCTCTGTTTAGCTATACACATGTTACAGGAAGGAGAGTACTAATACTGATAACAGACAATAACCTGTGCGGAAGTAAGGTACTAGTTAGGTGAACACAGTCTTTTAAAAACTGAAAAATACAATGAGTAGAGATGTACTATCGCAATACTGCCGAAAAATACGTAACGGAGTGCAAACTTTGGCAATAATGAGTAGTAAATTATGAATATAAGCTCAAAATGTAAAAAGCATACGAACTAAATTTAAATATTAGTGTTTACCGCCAACATTGACAATAAATAATACAGGAAAAACTTTATCATTCTTTAGAAAAATTTCACCAATTATATTGCTGTGAGATATTAATAGTTTTAGTGAAAGTAACTAGTTACGTAACATAAGGTGGATGGTCTTTAGATGATCACACTAAACACGTGAACGCATTTCAAGTTACGCAGGATGAGCAGCCAGGATGAATGTAATTAACCATGCACTTGGTCTAAATACATGAAAAACACATGAGTTGAGTTACTGCGCTACGATATACGCCAGTAAGCGCTGTTAATGCAGTATGTAACTAAGAGTGAAATACCTAGTCTCAGAAAGCTATTAGAAATACTAAGTGATAGTTTCACATACATATTTTCCTTTATCAATATTGTTTGTCTTTGATCTTTTAAGTGACTATCGTTTTTCATTCCATTGCGTAAAATTTGCCGACGTTACACTACAGGTGAGAAAGTTTGAGATTCTATGTACCTTGAAGTGTCACACCAGCTGCTTGTAAATAAATATCACAACGTAATTTACCGTGATTAATAAATATGAGAATAACTGAGACGTAATGTATAAGAAATATAAGATAAGCACCCCTAATCGTCTACACACATCTCAGTGAATTATTCCCGAACTATGAACAAATTTTACGTGAACGATGTTTGCGTCACAAACTAACATTAGTTGCCAAACGAGTGAGCACCAATCGATATCAGAGAGTCTTGTGTTTGATCATGTGTAGGATTCGAATTGCAAACTAAATAAAAACAACTGATCAAAGCGACTTGGCTTTAAATGTCTTTTCTCATGATTTAAGTTTATGATGTAGAAAATGCCATCAAACTGTTAAAATGTGCATTATTTGTCATTTAAATATTCACACAAACCACTTAGTTAAGCAATCTCTACATATCAGATACCCCAAGAATAATCTCATTCAGTGAGACTGAACATTCAAAACTTAATGAAAAATAACTACTCACCTCGATGAGCGACATCCAAATGAAGTTGAAGGTTGGATTCCGAAAAGCAGTTCTTGTGACAATAATTACATTCAAAATGACCACCAGAAATAGATTCCGATCCCTAAAACAGACACAAGTTAGATATGAAGATTAGTACATAGTAAAATATTGGCCATAAATTCGAAATACATGACTCCTTGTACCGTAGTGCTAGTTCATTGTAGTAATGAATATGGATATATTGCCAAATTAACAACTTCCCTCACATGCCTAAAGTGAACTCTGATATCCAAAACAAAAATAGACCAATTTATATTCAAAGACTGTTATTTTTTGGGTCCGTATATGCTTCTATTAGTTTCTCAGATGAATTGCTACCAGTTCTGCTATCATCCTCTAGAAAATCTCAGTAACTGGTTACTTAAGCAAGCAGGCCTTATGTTGTACACAAATCTGATTACGGACTTTCTTCTGAAGTTCAGGTTACAGAAATAGAAATGCAAAGGTGGAAAATCTAAACAAACGATCTGTAGGTCGATTGGATACTCATATAAATTGGATGTTAGAATTCATGATTGCTTTGTCATTCGAATCTATTGTGAAAGAAATGAACGATTTCTTCTCAAATCATCTAGAAAATTTTATACTTAGTCTTCATCACTTAGTGAGATGGTATTCTACATAGTCAATATCAACCAGAGGCCCTCAGTGTTACTTAACAATTTCTGAGAAGTCTAATATAAACAGTGCGTCTACGGTACGGACGGTGATAACAGACAACTTTAGCGGACCACTAGTTGACGTCATCTCAGTTGATACTGATATACAAACCATGACGTAGTTGAGAAAGTTCCAGTAAACAAACCTTTGATAGTGTAGTAATGTTGTCTGGTATTTCCATTAGAGTTAGTTACTTCCACATAATAAATCACACCTCAATGACTTAAGATACCATCCATCATGCGACAATCAAAGTTGTTACGAATAGTGAAGATTCATCAAAATACTTCGAAAAGTGTACAAAATTTTCTAGGTTCGAATGACAGGGATGCGTAGCATGTTCGAAAAATCAAATATGATAAAATACAGCACTGAAATACAAATTACTTGAGAATTATTGCTAAATATCATGTATGAGTACTTAGGATTTCGTGAAAACTAGTACCATACCAGTCATTTAACTCGGTTTCGTTTTGCAGCAATTTTCTTCCTGTTGGTTTTGACGGTGGTATGTCATAATGACGCTTTGGCTTGTAGTAGAATTTAAATGATGACATAACAACAAAAGAGATGCAATCTGATCTACGTAGGTAGGCGATAGAACATACTGATGAATTATCAAGTCTGTTTCTATTAACAATACCCGATTTAGCTTTAACTGACGAGCACCAACTATCATATTGGTGTAATAAGAGGTACATCTCTCGATCGTGTAGGAGAAGGTATGTAAAATGCGGAAACAATACGAAGGAGACAAAAAAACAATGTACAGCGGATCAGTGGCAAACGGTCAATAAACTACACAGACATGAATTCACCATATTGAATATAATTATCCATTACTATCGCAATAAGATGGAGAAATGAAAACATTTCATATATGATTATAATAAGCTGAATTCCAGTCTTTTTCTAATAACGTCAATGTCATATACTGCAATCTCTTTGTACCTAATGCTGGTATGATAAGTGACAAGTTTCAGTCAAACTTCACATACCTTCAGTTCATTAGGTACTTCCGATGTAATTGGATTTTCCTGACTGATAACAACGGAACAAACTTGTTGGACGTATGAGTCTGTTCCTTGATTTTCGTGAGCATTAGAGATGTCCAAGTTCATGAGGACGTCACCACCTAATTTAAATAAAACAATATAAGCAGTAGTACAATATTTCGATGATAAAATAAATAGTAAAACAATGTACGGTAAATACAATTCATCTTCTGATACAAGTTGTTTTTAGAATACTTCACACAGATTCATAACTATCTGAATCCCAACCGAACCACCCAGAAACGCACTCTCTTCATGAATGCAAAATCTAACCAGCTGCCGCCAACGAAAAAAGCGGGCAGAAAAGTCGTGGCTTTCAGAAAGATGAAGACTTATCTGACTAACCATTCTCCACATATACGGACACAAAGAAATAACATTAAAACGTGATAAACATGCACAAGAGTGTGAATCATAGGTTGCCAAAGAGAACTTGAAAACAGTGATTATTTTTACTGAAAGTACAAACGTGATACAGCATGGACATCAAGAAGTGCAGCATAAACAATGGCTGAGATGGCAAACCAGCGTATATTTGGAAATTCGTCCTTCGATAGTGCATTTTCTCAAACAAAATCTTACAGAATAACAATCTCAAAAACTTCACTGTTTAGTTCATGTATGATTAACTGCTGTATTAACCGAATATGCCATGTGTTGAAAGTTTTTGATAATGAAAAATCATATAAATCAGTTTAGATACCAAACTAACAGTTTTAAATACTAAAGCCTTGAAAAAAAAGTTCAAATTTTTTAAAACCAGTGCAGAGTTCAAACTGAAACACTGAAAAAGGGTTGTATAAGAATAGGATTTACTAATCCTTTTAGGTATATGCGCAACAAATGACAAACGATGGAAGGAGTATTATTTCTTATTGTTAACTTCAAGTGTTAAATGAAATTCCTTTCTTCGGTAAAGTATATGATAATGGTAGACAAAGATGAAAAACAACGTAAGACCTAGAAATGTATAAATGTTAACTGAAATCTTAACGTTATTGGTAAAAAAAATATTGATAATGCAGAAAAGTGTTTTGAAGGATGACTGAAACGACAGAGAAAATTAGGTGATACTACACCAATAGTGATACAAAGGCAACGATAGTCTAACATCTGCAACCTCGTATTATGCACCTTTAATCGCCATATTTCAGTCACAAAGAGAGTGAACTGCTGAGCAATTTGACGTTTAGCAGGCAATCCGCTTTTGCTGGCACAAGTGGCATAGGCCAGTAAAAGCCGAGTCTTTTGTTTTTGCAGCGATTGCGACTGCCATCAAAAAAAGTAGGACTGACCAAGCTTTCCAGGTAATTTACAGTGGTTAACACACGAATATGTTAAAGTAGACGAAATTGACAGACTAAAAAATGAGCTGTTACTTTAATTCTTATTGTTAGATAAGATAAACCAGTTCCAGGACTGGTCTGCAACTACTCGCAGTTTAAGAATAAGAAGTGAAGTGATGGAATGTATCGACCACTTCACTTACTTGAGAAGTCGCACCGGCTCGAAGGAGCCGGTTACTGACGAAATCTCAGCTCAAATAAAACATGCCCATTTGGTATCTGCCATCGCATCATCTCTGACGTCAACTGGTAAGGTATCTAACCACCTATTAAAAGACATGTACGCTGCGTTGCAGTCAGCTCCATCACGTTGTACCCCCGTACGACATGGCCAATGAAAGTAAAATATATGAAGAGACTACAGCTTTTTGACCACAAGTGTTTTAGTAGCATCACTCGTGCATGATGGAAACACCATGTTAGCAACATAGAGGTTAAGCGAGGGCACGCGATAAAACAAGCACATCGGTTAATGAAGTTGGCTTGGCTTGAACAAGTATTGTGAATGTCGAACCCCCACCTACCTCAGCATGCAGTGCTATAAGTCGAATTAGGGTGGAAGAATGCTCACAGTGGTCAGACCGAGACGTGATGGCAATCCATGAAGTCTAAATAGTTGATCTGAGTTGTGTACGGAGATGCAGATTACTTGGCTGAGGTTCTCGAGATGATGAGTCAGTAGTTGAGGGATCTCGATGACAGACAAGAATCGGTCGCTATGGTGCATATGTATTCATTTTTAGTGCATTCTAAAGCTTGAATATTTCCGCTTACCTTGAATTCCAAATTCCTTCTCCTCTCAGACACCTTTATCTACTTCAGTATCAGTCTATTTCCATTCACTTTTTCTTTCTATACTGTTTTGAAATGTGGCTACTTGAACCGATGCACTTATATGCGAGGGTTTACATTGATTTTTTCCATCTGACAGATAAGGTATCAACACAAACTGGTTTATTGGGAAGTGGCCTTAGAAAGGTTAAACCAGGATGTGTAGCAAACAAGATGAGCACAAATTCGTGTAGTACACCATCAGTTGCACTTAAATTACGAAGGCTTGCGATAATAACTGGCGGTTTATGCTGAAGGAGTTGGAGTGAATTCTGAATCCGTGACCCAGTGACTGATACTTGAATGTCAGTGTCAATCAGCCACACCCTTAGTGACCCAAAACATAGTACTCATTAAAGAAAATACTGACTATTGTAACTGTCGAGATTTCTAACCGCATATCAGAAGCCAGAGAGATAAACGTTGGTGTATGGTACCTTTGGTGCCACCTAACATTAATTTTGCTTTAAAAATTTGGTTGGACAGTTGGTCAGTACGAATTCTGCTGTGTGTTCGATCCCCCTTGTTTCCGTCGCCCGTATGCGGTAGTAACAAATTGCAAGTAATTTTGAGGTGAGGTAGCGTGTTTGGGTGTGACGAAGATCATCATTCATTGGGCGAAGTTATCTTTGACATGTTACGAAGGATGTCCCAGTGGCTCCTGTCCCGCTCATTGTTTATTTGTACTGGAAATGGATGGAAGAGGCGGAAAAGAGGCTAGTGTATGAGGTGGCGGCATGAGATGAAGGTTACTTGTATTGGGTTAACATTTGTGGGTGTCTCACTTTTCCCAGTACGATGGTATCTGAGGAATCATGCAACTACGGCTTGAGATGACAGAGGACATGGCTCAGAATCAAAACCGAGAGTGGCCATGCCGCAGCTTTCTTTAACCTCTAGACTTTCTCGCTTCCTTATCTCTACATCACTCTTACGTCTTAGGAACGTCCGTACATTGTTATTTATAGCGCATCTCAATTTTTTTATGCTGCACCAAGTACTTGTTTTAAACTGAAATAATTGGATTGCAGTAAGCAGCCTGACTTGATGTTTCGATGCATGTGAAACCAATGTCTGCAAACAAGACTATGCCTTTTAAAATTTTTTGCCTTGGTACAAAATCACCAGTTGCTTGTTTTTATGTAAATAGTGAATACCGTTCGATAAATATCCATCTCCCACCCTCAACTGCCGCATGTCGTTCTTTTCTAGTTGATTCCTGCTTAGCGATAGCTATTTTTAATTTTCCGCTTTCTTTTCTTAGTTTTTCTCATCTTACTGATATGTGATGTGGAAACTTGAACCACTAAATCTTGTGCAACATTTCACTTTGTTTCTGTCCACAAAAGATATGTTCTTTTTGGCTTTTCATATCCATCAGTTTGGAAGTTACGTGACTTATGAGCATCTGTACTGTTGTAAATTACCTTGTTAGGTGTGCTTATTTTTTGGAGATAATATACCATACTTTAACATGCTATTAGTGGTTTTATAAAGTCATTAGTGTTAAAACAGAACTGTTCTTTCCCAACCACGGGAAAGTAAAAAGAAATCAACTCTATCTTCAATGACTCATATATTATACACCTCAGGAGTCCTTAAATAGACTCTTAAACTACTTTATTCGTAAGTCATTCTGAGATACACTACTAAAAGCCAGTACATGCAGTTCAGTTATCTTAAAATAAAGTAAAAACTCAGATTTGCTGCAACCACTCATTTATCTTTTTATCCATCCAGGTGGTTATTAGCAACTCAGTTTTACGAACCACCTATCGTACATTCTTTTCTTTGGGCTTCCTCAAGAATACTTCGACTGAATTTATATGCAATCTAACAAATGAGTTGACGAAATCACAGGGACTAAGCCCATTGTGAAGACAGTAAGTCCGGGAATTAACATTTTTCTGCATTAGTACGAGATAAATAACGCTTCTAGCATCAGTTGGGAAATGTTTAGGGCAACAAACCAACAGCACAAGTTTTTGTCGGTTGGGATTTTATTTTGTGATGGATATATCAGAAAGGTTGCATTTTCACCGTAGAAAAGCAGATTACATTATCCAAGTAACCCGCTGTCCAAACAAAACTAATAATAGGTTTCTAAGTAGAACTTCGAACGCAGTGAAAGAACGTCATTCGCTACTATGGTAAACCGCATCCCTGTCACCACTGTTGAGATTTGCGGTGGTGCCACGGTGTTTGAAAATAGATTTTGTAAAATTCAGCCGTTTTCTTGATTAGTATATGAAATTAAGTGGCTCCCTAACAGAAGACTTACTTCTGCTGAGCCGTCACACGCAAATTTCAGTATAACTGTTCCTTCGGTGGATGACATTGCTAACAACACGGAATTTCACTACGATTCAGACGCAAATGTTGCTTTTAACATGTGGTTCAGGCGACAGGGGTTTTAAATACGATTTTACTGACAGGGATGATACTTGGAAGATATGTTTGCTTCTCCTAAATCTCGGTTCAATGAAACTTGACAAATACTATAAGATTTTGCCACAGAAACTAAACGAAAGAACATTCGATGCCACGGTTAAAACACTAAGACAGCACTTCGTAGGTCACTCCTTGCTTTTTATCATGATATCGTTGTCTTATAATGGTGATGAACGAAAACCATTATCTCCTAAAGCGTGTCTGCACTGAGAATATGAACGATTTCAACCGAAGATTAATTCAGATCCCTTATCCTGGTACGTAGTCTGAAATCGCCAAAATCCGCTGTCATCAGAATCCGACTGCTGAACCGTTTAGATCAAGACCCAATGATACTGACCAACATATCTACATAGTATTGACCCCTAGTAAATATTCAACTCGACACAGTTCAAAGTGGAGCTAAGGGTGGCTCTGCAGTAAATACCGTTTGCCGACAACAGACCACGCAGATGGTGATAGAACACTTCCTGGTTTACCTCACGATGTGTAAACGTATTCCAGGAACTCTAATAGAACGCCGATGAAGACGCCACTTTCACCTTGCTGGAATTGTGGCGCATGGCATTTCACTCTATCTTGCCCTTTTAAATAGCGTAGATGTCGTGGATCACAAAAATATACAACCAGTAGCACCAGCAATGCATGTTGAGATTCGCTTCGAAACAGCGGCAAAGGTTAGATTCACAACCGATCAGGAAATCTATTAATCTGGTAGCCACCTTCCGAATGGAAGCATTAGTTAAAAGAAAATTTATTGATGTCCATAAAAAGTTATCTAATGAGTTTATAATTAAATAAGGTGTCATTAGGATTTTGATGCAGATGTCGACCGATACTGGGCGGCCGCCCATTCAGAAAATATTATGATCAGTTATAGGCGCGTAGGGTGTTCGTTGATAACGGACAGGACAGCTACAGTGTCATATTTCTTCTCGCGACAAGTATATCGACGGTGAGTGCTATTTAACCGATGCAGACCTTAATCTTCTCGGTCACGACTGGTTAGAAAGCCTAGCTTTCGCAGACATACTATTAAGCGTCCTATGTAATCAAACAAACTTCGCCACCGCACGAAGTAGTCTAACAGTTCCAAAATATCTTTAAATCTGGTGTTGGATGTTATACAACAGCAAAAGTCATTTAGTGACTACGATCTCCCGAAATGACTGGTGCCATATGCTTCGCTATCACAAGTAGAAGCTGTCTCGGAAAACAATGTGTGTTAATACTTGTATCTTATTCATCATGGGCAACCAATATAGTATTAATGAAGAAATTGAACGGCTTTATTCGAATTCGCACTTACTTTTCGATCGGACTTAACGAGACCTCAAAATCGCATCACTATCCGCCCCTGGTGCCCAATGATAACTATCCTGAACAGAGAAACTTGTTTCATAAAACTTGATCTATCGGACGCTTACTTAAAGGTGAAAATTACACAGAAATACAGTGAGATATTAACTACAGACACCTAACGTAGGCTGTTCCAGCATAACAGACTACAACTTGGTATTAAAACGGCACAGGCGATCCTCCAAGAGATTATTCATAACACCCTCTCAGGATGGAATTGGAAGGAATGGATTCCGGTTACGTGCCGAAAATGTCAGTTGTTCCTGCACTATGTAGAGTACCTCAAATTTATCTTCTATGCATTTGGCAGTCGTGCGAAAGCCGATAATCTCCATGCTATACAACAGGTGCTTGAACTAAAGAATGTATTTTCATTAAGATCATATCTGAGGTTTGTCAGTTATTACTCAGCGTTCCTATCGTCAATGCACTCCGTTAGATTGAATGGAGGAATGTAAAGTCGCTTTTCGAAAATTAAAAACCATATTAACATACGGTCTCTCATTGACCAATTATGGTCCTAACCTACTTATCGCTGTTGTCACTGATGCTGTTACTTACGGAGTTAGTGCAGTCATACGTGTGTTCCCTGGTGGCAAAGAAAGAGCAGTCATACATGCATTTCGAACACAGGCACCTGTAGACTGAAAATAAAGTCAAGTAGAAGAGGTCCTAGGGCTTGTCTTCGTTGTATTCTGCTTCCACAAGCTAAGCTACGGTTGGAGACTACCCTCCTAACAGACCACAAAGCCTTGACATTCCTGAATTTTCAGTAAACCGACTACAACGATAAGCGCTAATACTGTTAAGACGACTTCGAGATTCAATACCGTCATATCGACGAGCTCGGTGAAGCGAATGCACTTTCACGGCTGATAAGTGATTACTCAACATCCAACGAAGATGCGATTATTGTGAGAGTAACGATGAAGATGATGCAGTTCACTCTTACTGAAACAGTGGAAGCTCATCCAGCAATGCTAGCAGATGTTCAAGCAGCTACCAAGAGAGATAACACATTCTAACGTGCCATTGAATTTGTTAGCCATAAGTGATCAAGCAGATCGCCAAACGGTGACCTACAACAGCTATTCTGTCGAAGACAGTCTCTATGTGTAGTAGATGACTGCCCCATGCTCGAAGATCGCGTCATAAGCCCATCCCTACAGCCACTGTTGAGATTTGTGGATACGGTTAACTAGAGACGCATAATTTATATACAGAGTGATATGATAATCTTCGATTGAAGTAAACTCCATTCAGTCTAATACTGTTTTCTTCTCTGAGTCGGCGACTACCATATCGCTTATTCGTTATCCAGATTATACGTCCCCAGTTAACCGCATCCTCAAATCTAAGCAATTATCCTACATTAACATCCAGAAAGTGTCACTGAATGTGTTTGTTTGGTTGACTTCTTTCTAGCCGCTAGTCTTTATCTCCGTCATAAAATCAAGTAAACACGTGGGATAAGTTCTCACTCTCCAACAAATAACAGCCATGCGCAGACAAATACATGTAAATACGAAAACATGAATGGGCACTTTTGAGCAGAATGACATAAATCGAAATGGCTGAATCAATAAATTGGAAATAGCTAGAAACAAACTAACCTTGATTTTGTCCAGTAAACAAAGTTTGGTACACGCTGTTTGGGGCAAGAGTCGTCATGAGCTGTGTGAAAAGTAAAGCAATTGTCAGACCGGCAACACAGGTGATGAACTATGGTAAACCAACATGAGAAAACTTTCGAAGAAAGACACCATGATAGGTTTTATACTAAGAAACTAGTTTCAAAATAACCCGACATAGTTTCAACTAAGATAAAGTGTGAAAGTTCGGTAATGACGCCAGATTCCACTTTCGATGAACCGTTGGAAATACTGTGCACAACATTCTACGAATCAACGAAGTAGAACTACAACGACTTCATTACATATTTCCACATTTGACTCCGAAGAGGTGATTAACAGATACTTAGTGCTAAAAACAGTCTAATTTGTAACCGTGATAACTTAGACACTCGGTGAAAGTTTACGCACACGACTATGAGTTATATTGTGAGTTTGTTATGGTACTCGGCTACTCGCAAAGAAGTGAGTGGAATGAGATCTGAACCCAAGGTCTATTGCTGAAAATTTTAGAGCCTAAGCCAATGAATTACAGCACGACCCGTAAAACCCAATACTTATCTATAGGTTTGAATATAAAGCAATGAGACAACGATCTTTAGGGTGAATGACACTATCTACCTGCCGAGGCCTTAATAAGTTCAACAGAATTCGAATTTGTCCAGACCGATAAGTCACAGCTCAACTTATCTTTCAGAGTAAATCATCACCAAAATCAACAAAGAACCAGGCATTACAGAGTAACGGTTCAAGTTGCCACACCTCATATCAGCACATGAAGTAACAAAGCAATGAAAAGGAAGATGAAAGGAAAGCCAGTCAACAGAAATAGAAAGTAGTGAGAAGAGGAAGGGATGAGAAAATGATGAGATTAAGCATAGCGGTTAAGATGATGACTTGTGTATACATCTGCGCCACCGACATCGGTTCTGAGCCATGTGACTTGCAGTCTCCAACCACTGGTTTCTGTTACCACAAAGACCCCAACCAGCCAGTCTGCATCGCCCTACACGGCTCAAACAAACAGTCAAGGACTTCATGTCTTGATGCCATGTTTAGTCTGGCTGCCCCAAGTTTCTTACCAGCTTGGGTCTACTTCGATCAACATTGTGGGATGAAGCAGATAGTAGTTAGGCATAAGCATCACTTGTCCCAGTCATCTCAGTCGATGAGGGTTCACAGCCTCATCAACCGACTTCTCTCGAGAACTCTACGCCTGACTTCTACATTACAGAGGCGGTGACACCACTACAAAGGCTATGCTACGAAGAAAATGATGCTTAAACATCCGAAGCCTTCATATATTTCCTGCGTTTAATGGACATATTTCATAGCCATAGCAGAACAGACAGAAATGCAATGCTGTACACTTGATCCCCGATAGGCAATCGGATATCACGCTGGGGCTATAACTGGCGTAAGTCGACGAAAGACAATAGAGCCTTTTGTATCCCAGCAGAAATTTCGTTGGTGACTGAGTTACTGGGCCTGATGCAATTAAGTAGACAAGTGAAGTGGTCGGTCAACCATTTCACTCCACACTATCAGACAGGGCGCGACTGAAGATCAATCCTGAAGCAACAATCCGCATTTGGGTGGCGCGGAGGGCACCCAATACATTCTCAAATCGACAATCAAGGTGCCTATAAGATTCTTTATCTTTTCATGGTCTTCATCTAACAGGACTGTCATCTACTTACCCTACATTTACCAAAAATTCTCCTGTGATAAGACGAAGAAAACCCTTCGTAGATCTACAGTACAGTGAAGTCTTATCAAATCAAAACAGTCGGATACTCATGGACCAAGTTAGAAGTTACACTGACCTCTTGAAAATGTGACTACGCTTTATTAGCAAAATCTCAACTAAAGAAGTTTTGTTTTGGAACCCAGGAAATACTACTCATTTATGGAACAGCTAATCCTCCTAGCCACGATTAACAGCTTACCTTCTCCGCCTATTTTCGTTTGTTCCCTGTACATTGCTCTTCTTCTCACCAGTATTAATCTCCTTACATTCTACCCAACCCATACTTCTGAGGGGATTGATAACGATTCAGACTCAGAAACAGTATCCTTGATTGCTTGAAACTGAAGTGCGATTACATGTTGGATTTTCGTTTTTGTTTGCCAGAATCAGATAGTGCAACCGCTTTTTGCTGCTGATTACTACAATGTTTTAGGTGACAAGGGCATGTCATTTATGAAACGTGTGGTTATTGAATTTTGTGTACGAATACTAGTCTGTGCGACCTAACCAACGTCAAGAGAACTGGTGAGTTAGGGTGATGACATACTGATATCTTGGAGGTTGTGGAAGGTAGAAAACTTAAGAAAATATAAAGTGCACGGTATTTACTAATGGGTCCTACCAGAAGCGAATACCGAGTGCCAATGTGAACTCAAGGATTCAATAGGTGACTTTTCAGAAAGGTGTGAAAACTTACGGCCTGACAACCACTGGTTTCCAGTTTGTTCTAACATGTTTCTACGACTAGTAAAGTCACCGTACTGTAGACAAATAGATTTAGACTCTAAACCATTTGTGATGAAAGGTTAGACCTTGTGGAAATACGCCTGTTGTGATTAGCTGCAAAGAGTGCTCATACACTCAAAGAATAGGACACGACGGGAGGAATAAGGATCATCTTGATATATATCGAATAGGTATAAGTAACAAAAAGAAAACTTCCCGCGATGGCAAGGAATTAGGAAATCTCAAACTTAATTCGAGGTACGCTTTGTGAAGCTAGCAAGATTTTTGGATGACCAGCTGGTCATAATCAATCAAAAAAGCCGACATAAACCGTAGTTAATGAAAACTAATGGAACTATTAGGCATTCTGTACTTATTCAATGGTGGTAATATAACAACACCTAAGCAAATATCATTAAGTATTAAGTAGCTGGGAATGGGTAGATAAAACACTAGCATCTTAGTATTTATATCAATAAAAACAGTAGAAGATACGGTTATATTCAACAATCTAAGTGAAAACAAAGCAGACATCAACTGTACTTAATTATTGATTACCAGAACCGCCCGACTTGAAATCTGCGCCTTATATGGTTATTAAAACCCCTCCATAGAAGTGCATTCACTGAGTTACTATAGTTTGGAAGATCACGCCGTTTCAAGTCATATTTCATCTTCAGTGTACACTTATAAGGTAAAGGCTTTTATATTCTTTTGCTATAAGTTCGGACTGACGGAGAACACTGTCCGGTATAATCTAACATACGACAACCAACTAATCCAATACTGATAGTGCGAGCATACGAAACTGATAAGTTTGATCACTCGCGTCCGGTTATTTGGGCTTGCCTCGTGTTACTCTTTTCCCCCGTGCAGTGGACGAGGAAATCTCTTCTACTTTCCTGCTTTTAGCTCCGTTGAGGTAACGGCTTTGTGGGTTACTAATTGCACTTTGTGGAGTGAATAGGGAACCAAGGGTTGCCACGAATATTGGAGGTCTCTTGTGACTCCTGCTTTTAAAGATGACCGGATGGGAACAGCAAAATAGTGGGGAAAGGTGTATGGGACTTATCCGAAAGGTAAAAGTAGATGGTATGGGTCCAGTTGCTAGAGAGAAGTTAGTTGATAATGCAGATGTATCAGCAAGATGGATAGTGAGAGGTAAGTGTCAGGGAAGCAGTGGTAGGCAGTGAAGTCAGTGATGTTCTACGTACGTCCATGGCAAACCATCTACCTAGCCGTCTTTTGAACGAGTCTACGGGGGGGGGCTGTGACTACATCCTGTGGTGAGTCACATGCCCTTAGGAAGAGGACATTATACCTGATTCTGGTGTTAGTTCTCTGATGTTCCGTCCTGATCTGGTTCCCTTGTGATGACCGCCATGTTTTAGGTGAGGTTCGTCTGCTCACGTGGCCTGCCTGATGGATGGTTTTGAAGGCCACAATAAGGTAACCCGCTTTTTCTGCGAAGGCCCAAAGTAAACAGATTTAGGTGTTTCAGTTTTTCGGGGTATACCTTCACCCTTAGTCCCACAACTGATTTTGTTGTAAAGCTTTGTATTTTTCAAAGAGGTTGGTGTCTCTCTTCAGTGCTCGGGGAGCAAGTCTACTAAACGCCCCTGGGTAAGGCCGTATGCATGGCTTGAAAGCAGCACAGAACACTTTCAGATGTGAGAGCGCCAGGCAGTCTAAGCAGAAAATGCAAGGCGGCGTGTGCTTGGGCCGTCATTTCTTTTTAGTGGTGTTACTCAACTTGTAATGACATTCAGCCGTCACTGTTTCAAAGGTACGGATGTGAATTACTTTGCACCTATGTAGGTTGAAGTTTAAGCCGTTTACTGACAACTAACTCTAAGTTGCTCCAGGCCATTTTGGAATGCTGTGCAGCCGGTCTCCCCGTCTACTACACTCCAGTTTTCAATGTCATCAATGAAGAGGAGGGTGGGTGAAGAGATCGTTAACGAACAGAAGGGACAGTAGTGGCTTCGGGACTTCTCCTTAGGATGCTGTTGACATCGATGGTCTCCACTTAGACCATATCCGGTTAACCCTTGAGCAGAACTTTCCGCCTTCCAGATACGCCCTGAACTAAGAGAGTGGATGCTTGCTTCTACCGGCTGATACGATCTTGTGAAGGAGTACTACGGGCGGAACTAGACCCAGTCCTAGGTTTCGATACCGCTCTCTTAATGTGAGTAGGGTTATCATCTTTGTGGCATATCACATCCCTGCTGGTTCTTGTGAACCGCACAGATTGGTGGTGTGGTACACCTTGATGTGAATCGCTGTATTTTCTAATTTCCGTATTGGTTGCCCATCTCTGAGGTCGTTGAAGGACAATGGTACCTATCTCAGGACACCTAACACACGGAACATGGAAGCCGTGAGCCAGTTTAAGCACCCTGGTATTGTTATCCTGATGAGATCTCGGTAAGACCAAACGTCTCCCCTTCGGATGATTAGAAATCTACAGAGGCATCAAGAAGCACAGTGGAACCCATCCCTATTTCCATCTCGGTTACAAAACTGGACACCTGGATTCCTCTTAAGAGGTATGTGGTGTTGCCATCACCTTTGCCCACTAGAACTATTTTACACTAACTGACTTTGGGCGAGTACAAACTCTTTGAGGGTCGGTCAAGGTTTTCCGTGTCTTTCTGCAGGATAATTGAGTCCCAGGTTGCTTTGGGATCCGCACATAACCAGCATATGTTGGTGAATGAGTGATAAAAGAAACTGGTATACCACCAAGAAATACTTTGAGTAACAGGATAAAGAGTATTTGACTTTGAGGAACCATACAAGACACTGATGCCACGACTCAGTGATGACTCAACCCTCACACTCAGTGATTTATCTTATAATAGTAGCGTATCCACTTTGACATACTTCTCGCTATACTCATAGCCTGGGGCTTTTGAGACATGAGGCTCCGGTTGTTCCTGTAGTAAGTTCTCGGGAAATCTACCGGTGGAATATGCACATAAAGTGTGCGTTGAATCGACTTGGTGCAGGTTGCTTTTGCCATAGACTGGTGCTACATAGTCTAGTCGGGATGAACCCACTGTGCCGGTCAAACGAAATTGAATTCTGCAGCGGATGAATTTGAGTGGGCTCGTTTTTCGCCCCATTCGAGAACTTTAAAGTCGACAAGACTGAGGAAATCAGTCTGTGTCTTGGAACTCAGTATTGGCTTCCACTCATTTTGACAGCCGTGATAAATGTCCCATTCTGGTCCAATGGCGGCCTCTTGTCAAGGTAGAAAAGTTTGAAAATTATTCCTAAGTGGCTGCTTGGTACTCCTGCGCACTCTTTCAGGACTGACGGCCGAACTTCATTCGATTTAGGGGACTCATGCGGTCTCGTACGCTGAAAAAGCTTCCCAAACCCAGCTTTCCAGTTCAGAACTGTTTAACATAGGTCCCGTAATCCAATCGCTCCTGGCCTTTTCAGGGTGGGCCGAAACTCTTGCCAGTATATCAGCTACCTTGGTATATGACGTGTGCATAACTAAGCTCCATGAATCATGCATGATAAGCAGAAATTCTTTCTGTGTCTCACAAAATGTTCTTTATGCCCTGTTAGCAATAAGTTCCTAGTTCCTGACCGATTTCACCAGTGTATCGGTTCTGCAGTAGCTTAATTTTATGATATTTCAATTCCGAAACAAGGATGAACTGTTTTTGTGAGCAGGCGTGTGTGTACGACAAAGGAGACCCAGCACAAATATAGTGCCAGCTTAGCAATCCCCTAACGAACAGAAGCAGCATTTACACGGTCCTGAATCGAAATGAAACAAGTATCGCCACTGATATTAGTTCTTAAGAACTAATGCTGAGCCGAATTCTGAGGAAAAGAACAAATAAAACCAAAATGGCCCTTAATATTTAAACAAAACGAAATCAACTAAACAACAGACTGATGTGTGAAATTCAAGACCTGAGACTGAGTAAGATAAATGGTAATTTTAGAAATAAAAGCTGCAAACTGCCACATTGGCTGTACAATTTACCCAGGCTACGGGTTTCGCAAAATAAGGGTCTTACCACACAGAAAGTTAACTAAATGTTTTACCACCGTCAAGCTTACAACAAAAATGAGAGTGAGAGAGTGCTTTATTGATCAATTTGAGTTCACAGGGATGCAGCACGACTTGCAGTGCTCAGAGGGTGAGGCGTAGCCCTCACGCTTGTTGACACCTCGCTACATGAAGCAAAAATAAAGTTCGGTAAACACTTCTATTTCCTGTCCACCGGGTTGGAAGGTAACAAAGAGTACCATCGTCACTTCACCCGGTCTAAGAGCAGCACATGTAGAGGAAAGTGGACAAAGAAGGTAGGTTGACGACAACCAATGTGAATTAAACACTTCTGATAATAGTTGACTAAGTTGAAGTTTTCTGTATCATTTACCTAAACGTCAAGGTGGATAGTGGCTAGCAGTTGAATCCAGGGACCAGAGACCAGTCAGCTGGACTCACCTGCCTCTCAGTGAGTGATGTCGTTCCCACCGGGATTCGGATTCCGGGGCGGTAGCATCAAACGCCGGAGCGTTATTCACCAAACCACCATAGCCATAGTTTTGGTATTATACCGCAGCTCATTGAACCGAAATGATTGGTCTGCCGACAAGCCTCGAAGGAGATGGAATGCGCATCTTGAATTCCACCGCTAGCCACCATCCATTTTTACTATAATTAGAACGCAGGCAATATCGAGGCATCCGCACAGGAGCCCATATGCCAGTAGAGATGGACAAAATCGGTCCAGTCAGTGACAGTGTGATACGTGCGACTATTCATTATTATTATCATAATTTGTCCTTTGGGGCCCTAGCGGAATAAGGGGCCTCAGTAGCACGCCGCCATTTCACTCACTCCTCCGCAGTGTTCCCCACATGGCTCCACGGCTGCCCACAAGCCTTCATTTCTCCCTCACACCATCCCCCTCTTGTCACTCTCAGACGCCCAACTCGTCGTTTCCCATGCGAGTTTCACTCGAGGGTGTGGCCTGATGCGTGACGTCCCCAAACCGCCTCCTCAGTGTGTGCCCAATCCAATCCATCCCCACTTTCTTCCACATACTTATTGGGTGATAGGTTCCTGGTTGGTTGGTTCGTTGACAACCAGAGTGGGTTTCCTGCTGCTTATTCTCAATATTCTGGCCATCTGATCTGGTCTTCAGTGTCAGTCTCGAGTGGGCGTAGGCGGCAGCTGTTGGTGTGATGTATATGTGTAGTTTGTTGGAAATGCTTTTCGTGACGCCCCAAGTCTCCCAACGGTCACATGGAAGCACCGGTTTACTTAACTGAATCGGAGTTAGGAATCCGGATGTTGCTCAAACTTTATACTGAGCGCAGTGCAGTGCAGAGGAGTAGATCTCTACACTGATTTGAGATTAGTGAAGGGCTGTCTTGCTGTTATTCTGATCCTGGCTGCGTTGACGTCCTCATCTGTGCTTGCGTCACCTGCAGTTGAAATGATACTGATCTGCCTAATTAGGTGAAGGAGACTACTTCCTTTAGGCTTCTCCTGTTGATGGTGATTGGCGCTTGTTTTTGTTGGTTGGGCATCTTCGTCACCTCTGTCTTCTCCTCATTCTCCTAAAGTCCTATCTTCGCTTTCTCTCCTGTCAACTCGTGGGTTTACTTCTGCTAATCTTCCAGTCTTTGCCCCAAGACAGCAGGCATAAATCATCATTGGTGGTGAAATCCAAATCTTTTAGGGTCTTTTGTGGGTCCAACGTACGCCCCACTTCTCCCTCTTCACTGTTTGTCGCATGATCCAGTCCAGTCCACCATAGTCGGGAAGGTCGTCTGTGACAGTAGGCAGCATTACTCCTGCCTTCACTTCAAAGGCGTTACTGAACCTTCTATCGTGACTCGATTGGCATCATCATCAGCATCAGATAGCTGTTAAATGAGGTTGATAAAGATTCGTGCCACTAAAACCATCGTGTTGTGGCAGTTGCAAAATCACTTTCCCGTTGACGCTATTGAAGGTTTTTTCAAAGTCGATGAAGTCGAGGCGGAGAGTTAACTGATATGCTATGCTCTGTTCTATGTTGATGCATGACGTTTCAATTTGATCGAAACATGATTTGTTTTTCCTGGAGCCAAACGGCCTGTTTTGGCTGTAGTTTTCAATGCAGAGCACCGTTTAGTCTCTGCAGGATGATGCAGCATCATATTTTGCTTGGGGCGGACAGGGACAATAACATGATTCAGTGCCAGTTCTTGCAAACACTCAGGTCCTCCTGATCTGGCAGTTTGGTGAGTAACCCCTTCTTCCAATCGGCGAGTGTCTTTCCTTCTTTCAAGACCTCCCGCAGTTGTAGTGTGAGCATGTCCGCTGTCGTCCCTGCGTCTGATTTCCATGCTTCTGGAGGAATTCCGTCTAGTCCTGCCGCCTTCTTGGTCCTCGGCAACTTCATGCCGTACAGGACTTCACTTCTGCTTTTGTCAGAGGGCTTGTGTTCACTGGCAACTCAGTGGTTTCTGGTGGTATTTCTGGAAGAGTTGCTGGTGGTGGTCGATTCAAGAATTTTTTGGGATGGTCAGACCATCGTTTCCTTTGTTTCTCCTCTTTGGTAACTGGGTTTCCCTCACTATCTTACATTGGTCTCATCTGCGTTGATCAATTCCCAGATAGTAGCCTGGTTTTTCGATTTGATGTTGTCATGTCTCTGTCTCTCCTACCTGTAGCTTGTTCTGCTTCACTTGCCAGTGTGTCGTAGAAATGTCTCCTGTCTTTCCGCGCACTCTTCTTCACTTTTGTCTAGTGTAGTGTTTTATACTTTGTACTCAGTCCCTCTTTTCGTTGGTCACCCCTGCACCGCACTGGTTCATCGTCTTCCTTTCACTGCTCCATCAGCTTCCAAGTGTCCGTCAGGATCCACTCCTTGTCTTGTCCCCTTTCCCTTCCTAGTAAGGCCATGAAGGTTTCCCTCCACACCTCTTTCAAAGAGTCCCGGTGTTCTTTCACACAAGTTTCCTCTGAGACGTCGCCTAATGTCTACCATTTTTTCCTGATGTCTGACGGACGTGAAGATGCTCGTCGTAGTTTCGTCCTCCAGTTTCTACTCTGGGTGTTAAATCCGAACTGTGGTCCACCATCAACCTCTTTCAAGGCTTTCCACTTGATCTTGAAGGCAGGTTCCTTGCATTAGATGGTGAGTGGTATGAATCTACGGCTACTCCCCTTCTTGGTTTTCTCTCTGGTAGGCTGCGTCTCCACTTTCTTCAATCACCAAATCGTTGAGTGCACAGTAACCTGCCAACAGTTTTCCACTCCCGTTCCTCATTTCACCGTGTGTCTCTCGGCTCCGGCTGATAAGTCTCAGACAGAAGGAAACATGTGTCCTAAATTCTACTGCTAGTCATCAGGAAGACTAGAACCAATTTCCTACATCTACTCTGTGTTCTATTAGGTCAGAGATTTATGGGAGTCAGAGGATGCAAGAAGTTTCAGAGAGACCCAAACCATGGAGTCATTCGATCAGGTGAAGTAGATTCTCTGGGATCTGATTGTACAACAGTAGTAGGGAGTTGCCAAACGCACACAGGACAGGAGCACAAGCCGACCACTAGTTCCTCACAGACATTGAATACTCAGGGGCTGAAGACCAACAAGGGACATGGTGTATCGTGAAATAGAAATGCGGAGTAACAGAAAACCGTTCCCTTGTTTGTAGGTGTTCAAGTATGTACATTCAGCTTGGCAGGTCAGTTAAAACTATACAGGGTTAGCGTCGATGCCAAATATGTTTGGGCTCCAAGTTATAGAGTTGAGCGGGAAATTTAACTCTATGGGAGAACCTGTTTGCTTAACCTCTTGTCGACGGTCGGAATAAGTACTTACCTGTCCCACACAGGTTGTGGGGAAGAAACCTGGTGACTGATTGTCCGTTTTCAAGTGTTCACCGGTATATATTGAAGGGAAATCGAGTGGAGTGAGTGACAGGACTTTGGCCATCATGAAGAGACTGGACTTTGTGGTTCGGGTTTACCTAGCTACAGGAAGACCTAGGGATGAGCCATATCCTTAACAAAAAATGGAGTTCCCATCGTAATCTTCAGAGACTCTGTCGTTTATTCGGACAGTGAAAGCTCTCGGTTTAGGTCATTTTCTTAATGCTATACTTGGGAGTGTTTAGTCCACCAATGCTCGAATATTTTCCAAAAGATTTCGAAATAACACGATATGTTTCCATTGCCTGTAAATTGTTGGCTTGTTGGATTTACTAGAGACCACTGAAAACAAACATCACAGAAGTATTTTTGCCGCATGCCAAGTGAGATATAGCGCACGCATATAATTCTCTTGTTTTAATCTTCGATCTGACAATCAAACAATGAATTTTCCCTTGCAAAACCGTCGTTTGGCAATATACACCTGTTTTGGGTCCTTGCATCAAACAAGCATAGTGTTTTCAACTTGTACCTCGAGCAGGCTCTATACTGAATTATTCAAAATTTAGATACCAATTTCGCCGAAAGAGAGATTTGTTAGCCGATAGCTGAAGCGAAAAACCCATCCCGTGCTGCTGTGGGATGAAATCCTTTCCTAATGTTTTCCAAATCGTGAATGACTATTGGTTTTTCTACAGTGCCGTTGGAAGCAAAAGCCAAATCTTGAATCTTGTATTGTGGGTGTCGATGCTTTTAGCATTTTTCTAACATTTGGGCGACATTTGAACTTTTTACCTGAGTTCCAAGTCTCATTTTAAGTAGTAGCATACTATTTGTGCAGGTTCTACAGACTGTATGAAAAAGAGGTTGTTTTAAGGAGAAAGCTGCTGAAACTAGTCCCAGTCAGGATTCCACACATATTACACAGTGTCTGGAAACTCCTACCTATGATTGATGACAAACTGAGCTTCCCATCTTTTGCAATTACTTAGCTAAATAAATATATCAAGTCACTTTCCATGCCTTTTCATAATAATACGGGATTTTATTTACTTTTGTCTTTCAATAGCAAAATTTTGTTCAGTTACTTTGTTTAGTTGCATACTCCCATACAATGAAGAAGCGGCTATTTCAATCCCTACTGACGTAAGGCCAAGTGTATATTACACAAGTATTATCGGTGGACCTAGACTTCGTTGAAATATACAATGGGTGGACTTCTTTCGAGTTTTTTAGTAAATTGTTAGGCAAAAAGGATGTTCGTATTCTGATGGTTGGATTAGATGCTGCTGGGAAGACAACCATTCTCTACAAGCTTAAGCTTGGGGAGGTGGTGACAACGATTCCAACTATCGGCTTTAATGTTGAGGCAGTGGAGTACAAAAATATCAGTTTCACAGTTTGGGATGTTGGTGGTCAAGATAAGATCCGTCCTCTATGGAGACATTACTTCCAAAACACACAGGGTATGCTCACATTTTGTGGATTATTGTCAATCTTAAGGTCTCATATTTGTTGTTGATAGTAATGATAGCGAGCGTATAGGGGAAGCTAGGCAAGAGCTGAATCGTATGTTGAATGAAGATGAATTACGTGATGCTTTGCTTCTGGTCTTTGCAAACAAACAGGTATTGTGAAGTCTTTTGATTTAACCATTGTTTAAGGACCTTCCACAGGCACTATCTGTTGCTGAGATAACCGATAAACTGGGTCTTCATTCACTTCGTAACCGCACATGGTACATACAAGCAACATGTGCGACAACTGGTTGTGGTCTGTATGAGGGTTTGGATTGGCTCAGTCAAACTCTGAGCTGCAAGAATTAATTGTTCTTTGTATTCTAATCCAAAGTGCTGTGAAGCGACGGCGAATGGCTCTTTTCATATTTGATTTCATGTCATATTTGGTACTGTTATGGCCCATCACGAATTTTTTCTGTACATCTACTGGGTAAATTAACTCGATTTCTGCAGTAATACAGGTGGATCTCGGCCCTTTCGTCGTTTGCATTTTCTTTTTTTTTTCCATTGTTTATGTTTTGATGTAAAAGCCCGACAGAAACTCAAAGGATGTTATTAAAGTTGGGCTGTCTTTCGATATGATTGTGTACATGCTTAATAAAGTTTCATTCCTTTCTAGGTTTCATTATTAAAGCTCCGTGATTTTTGCTTACCAGAATACTCTCTGAGAATGGAACTTTTGGCTATCCTGCATGGGAAGTGTTTCGAATAAGTGGTTTAGTGTTAAGGTTAGATAGTTTTCGGAGCACACCTTGTAAGCTTTCATCAGTGGATCGGAAATAGGTTCCTAATCACTTCTGCTCATTTGCTAAGTTTTCCTCCTGTTTCAAGCGTAATATCCGCACCGTTTCGCAGGCATTCCCAATCGATTTGTATTTTTAGCTTGTAACGCTTGCGAACGGCGATTTCACCTTTAATCCTTAGATGAACTCATAGGTTGTGGAAAATTCTGGTGTCGAAATGTGGTCAAGATTTTAAAGAGTGTGATACAGTCGCGGTAACTTCCATTTAAGTTTTCGATCAAATTAACAAAGGTTATCTAACCAGCAGGATATTAGTGACTTAATTCACCCTGCTTTCAAAAATTAGGTCTTTTTCTACTAAACGAGTGGGATGATGACCAGTCTTAGACGACGGTCCTAGAAAGTTCTTCCTGAGTTATGTAGAAGGTAAAACCACTTACAGATCCATTTGCTGTAAGCTCGGATTCATCTGATGTGTACTATTATTAAAATTTATTTCTTTCACAAATGAGGGTTTCGGGTTTGAAATGTATGCGTAATACATTCTGCACTTTTAGGGCCATGCATTATTGCAGCAGCTGGAGCTGTTCATTACAACACAGTTTCTGGACCACTCAGCTGTGGTGATACTTAAAATATATACTTCAGCCCCATAAGGTAAAAATGGTCTTATTTCAAACTCTTCAATTAGCATATTATTGAAAGGAAGTTCAAGCGAATTAAGTAAGCCTTTGTGGTTGAATTTGTTAAAATCCCCAATACAAGTGAAATCAGCAGGAATAGGAATATACTGAAACGAAAAAAGAAGGTAGCAAGTCACTGAAGATCAGTAGTGAGGGAGGTGTTCCGAGTCGTACTTGATGGCAACTTAGTACATAAGTCTGGGACATGGCAATTCGCTTGTCGTTCGTCACCGGGTAGTAGTGCATGATTAGTTTGTCTGACATGTTCTCTGTAAAACCTCTGGAAGTGTTTTAATACGGCATTCTTGCATGCTGGTATACCACATGAAGGAATACAATCGTTCTCGAATTCAAAACGTTTTTCAGATGCTGCAGTAATTCATAGAACAGGTTGATCTTCCTACCCAATCTGGTACGGTTATGTCCTACAGCAACTACTTGATTGGTTGGTGGGACAATTCTTTGTGAGTTGTCTTCGAAGCGTTTTAAAACATCTAATTCAGTGCTACGAGAGCTTAAGTGTTGGATACCAAACCAAGTCGCCTTGCTCGTTAACGAGAACCAATTGAAAGTCAGTATTTGGGTTAAAAGGAGTATGGCAGTAACCATACCGCTTGGCGGACGGGTGAATACAACAATAGGTGTATTGCTTCTAAGGTCTTCTCTTCGAACATCAGCTGTATATCTAGTGGAAGACATTTAGCCTACTTGCTGAATAGCTGATCTGATGCTTACGTTGCTTTACTGACAAAACTTAGGATTTTGAAAGGTAAATCTATCGAAATCGTAAGGTACAGACGTCCTTATTTGTAAACAAGTTGTTGCACACTTGATGTATTTAAGGTTCACTGTTGTTTTATTCTGCGAATTGACACATGTTCGTTACTTTATAGCACGTTAAACACCTAGTATACTATCATTTCGTTTTGCTAAGTTCTGGGTGACCGATAAACCGTTTTTGTGAATACTGTTGGTAGTAAACACTGGTCATCTAAGTTGACGTTTTTTTCTTATAAATTGTAATTATTGGTCTTCATCGTGATTCTAAGTGGAACAACCCAGAGGTGTGAAAATCGATACAGTAGATATCTGATTATGTGGTTTTTCCTAATCAAGTTTAGTGGTAGGATAAATAGACAGGAAAACACCAGCTACAAGACCATTTCGAACGCTGCTCAATGGTGAGAATGTTAAGACTGCTTTCAACGAGGGAGGGGACAGAACAACGTAAAGAATCCTGGCGCCATATCCAGTCTACTACAAAAACCCTGGGGCAGAGTTGGCGAACCTCAGGAGATTCTTCGGAGTTAGTGGATGCATATTTGCAAATTCCCAGCGCAAGCATTGGCGGTGGCAGACAGAGAAAATGTACACAATCACGAGCAGTGATGGGCAGCCAAAGCTGAGATGAGGAAGGCAAAGGCGATTGGCTACAGTAGACAGTTATGTAGACATGTTAGGGAAAAAGGGGCAAGAACTCAATGGTTGTTGTGGCTACAGCAGAAAAGGGCGGGTTCGCGATTTGCATGCAGGTAAGACGACTGAAACAATAGGTGGAATAGTTCGACTGACCTCCAGCTACTATGCTTTTGCCGCCATGCAGTTGGTTCCTAAATGAAACCTTAGGGTAGGCTGCGAAAGAAGTTGAAAAAGTTGTAGGTAACATGAAACGAGGAAGGATAGATGGACCAGTACCACATCAATTTAAGGACATGTGGTCAATTATTATTGGCTGGATTATCCGAAGTGTTAGGTGGCTCATGAGAATCAGACAATCCTTTCTGATTGGCCTCAGTCACCGACTGTCTAAGTCTTCAGAGTAGGGGAGTCCTTCCGTAAGATCCACAGGCCCAAGGTTACATAATCAATAGATGCCCAAGTGGAGCTCAGAAACAGCGATCCGAGAAAACCAGACAGGTATTAGACCTGACCATGATTGCATCGATCAGATATCCACCCTCCGCCAAGTTCTGGAACCCAAGCACACACCGACGTTTGACACTGCATTTTTCAGCCGAAATCGGCATTCGATCCCGTCGACTAAGAGGTATTACGGTGGTCTCCCTTAAAAGGTTGCCAAGTAAGTACTTTATTCATTGAAGGCTCTATGTTCGAACACGAGCGCGTTGAAGTCTATGGTAAGCTGTATGTGTTGAATGGTGTCCGTCAAAGGCGTCTACTCTCTGTACTCTTATTTATTTATTTGAATATGGAGGTATCCCTCTCATCTGACTATGCACGAATTGAAATCCAGTATCTTCATTCTCGCTTAGTTTTATCGAAAACTTGCTTATGTAGATATCTTTCTCGCCTGACTTCACAGGAGACTCTTTAGTAGTTCTAAAGTACGCAGATGACGTGGTCCTGATAGAGAAAAGGGGTGTCACAAAAGCCTGTTTACGGGGCCTGAGGGTGGTTATTCACTTGACGATCCTGTAAAATCCGCTGCACATGTGACTGAAGATTCAATGACTAGCTTTTGTGGGCTTGCAGGTGTAGGCATAGTATCAAGTTGGAGCAGAAAGCGCACTTCTCGAATGAATAACAGCAGCTGTCGGAATGAAGGGATCTGTAAGGACTAGGAATGGTTGCAACACTTGTGTATGCCTATTTATCCACCGACAGCAGCTCGAGTGATGCAAAGGATGAATTCTACCAAAAGTTGTCAATTTTGTCACATAAAGTGGAATGTTCAGGTATAACCATAGTAGCAGGCGGTTTTAACGCTCAAGTAGAGAAGCTGAGTCAATCGGGAAGGTATTTGTGGAATCCTGTGCCAACGGGAATCATCTGTTGCAATTTTGTTCCGAAAATCACTTCTTTCTGGCCAGCACTAATTTCAAGCCTGAGGGACACTGTCTCACGTGGCGTCCACCAACATCGAACCAACGATGGACACCGATAGGTCGTAGTATCGCTATAAGCAATCGTAGGAGATGATGGGTGGGAGATTGTCGCTCTTTCTGAAGTACTAGTCTGGACTCCGGGTACGTGTATATCTGCGCCTTACTGGTCGCAAAAAAACAGCAGCTAAGCCAGTGTGTGCTCTTTTGGAAGATGGGGATGTCAAATGCTTATTCAGAGAGGGAATGGCTAGGTATTTATCTGAACGTGATAGCGATTCCTATCCTGATGAGACCTAGTGTGGTATGCAGTCTGTTGTAAAAACAGCCAGCAACCTGCATGCAAAGGTTAGTAAACGTCATCCGGACCGGTTGGTACCAGAAGACTCATTCCAGCTGGCTCTGAACGCATTGAAGAGCGAAAACAGCTTAAACGTAAACTGACCAACAGTCTTCGCAATGATCGCGAGCAGTGTTGGGTGGCGAAAACGTGAGAGATGCGCAAGGCATCAGCATTAGGTAACACTCGGTAGTTACTTAGTTTTATTTAGGATACTGGCACGAAGATAATGATAAGTGAAGCCGTTGCCTAAAAGTATAGGGTAATGGTAGCCTCTCAGGACAGGCGGGCAGAACACTTTGAAGGCCAGTTCAACTGGTCCACAGAAATGTTTCAGTTGCTCAGCATCCAGCCTGAACCTGAATGGGATGTAGGTTTAGGTCCTCAAAGTTGAGAAGGCCGTTTCAAGCCTGAAACGATGCAAAGCAGCAGGGCTTGACAGTTTGCTACTGTAGGCTTTTAAGGATCGAGGTAGGGAATTACTGATTAGTGTAAAGGAGTGGAACCAAAGGTAGTCCCGTCTGACTGCTGTACTTCCCTGATCATTCCACTCTATAAGGAAGAAAGTCACCTTGTGACAACTATAGAGGAATCAGTTTTGCTAACATCATATGTAAGATCTTGGGGTCCATAGTTTAACAGCGCATAACTGGAGCTCAAGAAAACCAGGCGGGTTTCAAAAGTGGGGGAGGGCATA